CGGACATGACCGGACACGGTTAATTCGTGTACCAAATGAAAGATACAGCTTTCTATTTTCGTCTGAACTAAATTTTATTAACCGGCAACAACCGGAACATTTTACAAATATAATTTATTGACATCACTTTCGTTCTTACAATAAAAATAAGCCAATACTTACAACTGATAAAAGAAACAGTTATTTTAAGCCGATTTTGACGTTTAAAGTAAGCATTTTCTCGCCGAAAAAAAATCTGTCTGAATATACCAAACACGCACACAAACAAACCGTGGATGATGAACTGCGCATGTGTTTTTTAATTCTAATGTTTAAATGTTTGTGTATTAAGTACTCCACTAACGCCAGAGNGGTTTACACTTAAGCGGCGAGGAGCTGTGTGTACAAAGAGATAGTGCTGTGATAAGCTCCGCGGGTGGCCGTAGTGCAATTTAATAGGCACTAGCTGACTGTTTAATTGGATTAAAGATAAGCGATAAAGTCGATGTTACTCCTTCTGTTCTATTTTCTCTATGCTGCAACTAAGGGAGATATAACTCTGTTTATCAAACCCTGATCAATTTTCACCGCTTTGATCACAGCTTAGACTAGAGTACTTAAGTGGAAGTTACATAACTTTGTGATAATTGGCCCTTAACTCTTAAGCCTATCACAATAATACTGTTTTTTTGTATAATATATCTCTTGTATCAGCCACATTTTGTCATTTTAGTTTTGTAAGCTGAAGAAGACCATAGGACTTTACGAAAATTTCTTTTGAAAAAAATTTTTGAAATATATATATATATAAATATATATATATATATATATATATATATATACACACATATATATATATATATATACATACACACACACATACACATACATTCGCACACATACATACATATACACACATGCACATACATGTAGTTTTAGATGTAAAATTTGTAAATAATGATACAGGTAATAATAATAATAATAATAATGCATAAACATGAACAGAAGGCTTATCTGCCATATGCCGAGAACACAGATTTTTTCAAGTTAGATTTAAAGAAATAAATATTAGGTAAAGACTTAAAGGAAATATCTAAGGAATTCCAAAGTTTGGGCCCATTGTAAAAAATAGATTTCTTTCTATTAAAGAGAAGATATATATTTTTCAGATAAGACATTTGTTTTTGCGAGCCTATTTTTATAATTATGAATAGTGGACTGTTGGATTGGAAATAAGGAAGAAATATGTTTAGGTAATGTTGTTCTTAAAACGATAACATAAAAGTAAGAGTTAATAATAATAATAATAATATTTATTTGGCAAAAAGCATATAGGAGAAAAACATCATGCATTGCCCGGATAGGGAATGGGCGAGAGCCCGAACAATATTTGCTCCCTATCCTTCATATAAAATGAAATACACAAAAACAATCAGAACTATTCAGAAACATAAAATGAAATAAAATGCTTAATTAAATTATTCTTAAAACAGGAAACATTAACAGAGTTTTGAAGTAGAGGAGGTAGTTCTTCCCAGAGCCTGGGAAAGGACACGAAAGCAGAATTAAGAAAAATATTGCTTTTGGCTTTCCAGTGAATAAGCAACGCTCACTCTTATGAACAAACTCTGTTAATGTTGGGGGACACACATTATGAAGAACTTTGAAACCAAGAACAAGCAGGTGATATTTATAAATAGCATGAGCATGAGTAAACGATTTTAACCAGGATTGTTCATGGTGTCCCATGAAAAGGTTTGCTAGGACGGGTCCCAATGGAGAACCCATTGAGACTCCATCTATTTGGCCATAAAATTCATTATCAAAAAGAAAATGAGTTTTGGAGGTATAAAACATGAACAGCTTAAAGATCTTCCCTAGATAATTTACAATTAGTATAGTTTTTCAAGATATAATCAATAGCTAATGATACGGATTCGTTTAATGGGATGTTGGTGAACAAGCTTCCAACATCGTACGAAACCATAAATTTATTGAAGGTATCGATACTATTAATTTCTTTAACAAATGAAAACGTGTCATTAGCAATGTAATTGGATGGTAAATTAGAACTTAATAATAATAATAATTCATGGCCATGAACAATCCTGGATAAAATTGCATATATATATATATATATACATATATATATACATATACCTTTCATCAGTTGCCTGACGATCGCAATAGCGTGAAACTCCGAGTAGCAACATTCTGTTCCAGCGACCTCCAGTTCTATA